AATTAAAGAGATGGGCCGATAGGACTCAATCCTTTCTAAGTCTTTATCTGGTTTAGGGATTATAGATATCACCGTTCTGTTCCATGACAACGGAGCTTCTCCACCATGTAAAATTCCATTAAATAGTTTTTGCAATTTTGGTATTATTATTTCCTTAAATTCTTTATAAAACTCAGCAGGTAATCCATCTTCACCTGGAGCTTTCCCTAATTTTATTTTTTGTATTACTCCATTAATCTCGTCTTGTGTTATATCTTCTTCCATTAAATCTTTATATGTTTGGTCAATTTTCACAACATGTTTTTCTAAATAGCTTCTCAGTTTTCCCCGATCAATTAATTTTTTCGAATATAAATTTTGAAAAAAGTTCCTGACCACTTCACATTTTTCTAATTTTTTATAGCGTCTTATACCCTTATCATCTATCAAGGCTCCAATTTCTCTCTTCTCTCTTTTATTTTTCGCCATCCTTGCTAATAACAATATTCGTCCCCCACATCCTCAATTGGTTTCCGCCTCTATAAAGAGAGTGGGGGAGAGGGGACGTGCCAATGGTCGGGTCACTTCTTTCGGGTAGTCTACTTAAATTCATCTCTCAGAGAAAAGGGTGGTAATTTCTCCCCGCACTCAGCTTCCTGCAATTCTTTTTCAAGATCCTTGAATTTCTTATCCGCTCCATCTCCCATTATATCATCACGACTTTTCTTTTGTTCAACCATCGCAGGTGAGATTTCCTTCCGCTTTAGTCCTTTAGGATCTTGTCCTCCAGCAGCCCCTTTTTCTTCTGGTGTTGATGTTTTTGCATATGTTCCACCCATCTTGAGCATTTGATCTTTTATCTCTGTTACGTCCTCATACTTTACAATCAATCCAAGTTCGTGTAAGTATAACACTGCATCTGTTTCCAAAGTAATTATTTGCATTCTTCCTTTATAAAAAATTTTTAGTTGCTGTGGCGGTCTCCAGTTATATTTAATTCCATTGTCTCTCAGAACCTTTGTGATTGGTTTCAAAAAAAATCTCCACGCCCTTTCTTCTCTTGATATATCCGGAAAGACTTGAATAATTTTCTCCTCAAATTTCAAAGCTTCACCCATCTCTCTCACTTTCACCATCACTTCCAATTTGTCACTAAGATTTGCAAATCTGACAAGTACATTTCTATTTAAGCCGTTTTGTCTTTTAAACCCAATTCTAAAAACACTTGCCAGATTTGTTGCTGTAAATGTGATTTGTATATCCAAGTCATTGAGCCATTTTAAAACTCGTTGTTTTAAATTGTCCACTTTTTCTTCTTGAATTCCACGAATAACCAGATTATATTTCCTCGCTTCTTCTTCCAAAAGACAATTTTTTTTATCTTGTTGTTCATTTTTAAAAAAGATTTCTCCAATTTGTCGATCTATCTTTGCATCATGTGTATGAATCTGCTCAATTTCATCTTTAATTATTGTCATTTCTGCTGTTTGCTTTGCAAAATTTTCATTCATTTCTTGCTTCATTCTTTTAATTTCCAATGTCATATTATCCATACTATCTGACAGTCCTGATATCTTTTCACTAATTTTGGTTAAGGCCACAGCAACTTGTTGCATTTCTAAAGATTGTTGGGTCGCCATTTTTTAATAAGTTTTAATTATCCACTTTTGCCAAGAGGGTCTGTAATGAAGATTAAGGGACAGCAATCCAATATTGAAGCTGAGACAGCTTATTATTCCTATATATGGGATGTGCAGAATATCTCTCGATTAATAGGTAAAACTGATTGCTGGATCTGCATGCACGTTCCCCCACATGCCAGAGGAGGACTTTTAATACATGCTATTCCTTTTAATGAAACCGGATGGAATTAACATCCTTGGATCCCTGGAATGCTACGAAATGAAAATGTTAATTATCCTATTTAGTTATGCTTTAGATATTATTTTAGCAGCCAAGGGTGGTGTATGTGCTTTGATTCATTCGCATTGTTGTATGTATATTACTGATCATAAAGCAAATATTTCAGCTACAATTGAGCACATGGAAAACATGATTGCAGATAATCCAATTGGCTCCACTATTCCACAATCCCCACGGGAGTGGTTATGGTCTTGGCTCCCAGATTTTGGATGGATGCGACAAATAGTATCCATCGTTATACTAGTCATCATTGCTTTGATTTGTTGTTGCTGTTGCATACAATGTTTGCCTGGGTTATTAGCGATATTTCGTCCAAGAATTCGGCCCTCCAAATCTGAAATTATGTATGCTTGCAAAATATTAAAAAATAAAAAATAAAATAAAAGAGGAGGACATGTGGGGATGGGGTTATCTCAGTGGTTGGCAAACCACGCTGAGTAAACAACATCAGCACAAAGTCCTAATCTCATCAGGAATGTAAAGACAGGATGTCTGGCAGAGACCCTATCTCAGATATGTAAGGCATGGGGACCCAGCATGTAGACATTATTTGTCACAGGAAAAACATGAGGGAAACACAAGGAGTTCACATGGAATTCACGAGCCTTCTTTAGCCAATCAGTACAAGTAAACGTTGATTAATGTTTTGCCATGGTAGTTGTAAAATGACAATAAAAGGGAGCCTTTTGAATGGGGTCAGTGTGCCTTCCACAAGGTGCCTTCCCACCGAGAGGCCTTCCTGTGAATCATCTTCCTGCCTACAGGTCTTTCTTCATCAAAACAACACTGATATAACTTCCACTTGCAAATATTTAATTGGGGTCTTCCATCATCGGAGTTGCATAGTTAGAGATTATGCTAACTACAGTAATGGGTGAGTCCAGGGGAGGAGATGAGGGTAGGTCTTGAGAATATTATCTGGGAGGAGTTTGATCCTGTGGCTCCCGAGGATGTGGACAGGGTTCTGGGTAGGATTAGTGCCGCCACATGTTTATTGGACCCGTGTCCCTCCTGGTTGGTACTGGCCTCCCGGGAGGTTACACGAGGCTGGCTCCAGGAGATTATAAGTGCTTCTCTGAGTGAGGGTGCCTTTCCTGCCGCCTTGAAAGAGGCGGTGGTAAGGCCCCTCCTCAAGAAGCCTTCCCTGGACCCGGCTGAATTAGTCAACTACCGTCCGGTCTCCAACCTTCGTTTTGTGGCGAAGGTTGTTGAGAGTGTGGTGGCACGACAACTGCCCAGGCACCTGGATGAAGCTAAGTATCTGGACCCATACCAGTCAGGCTTCAGGCAGTACCCCTGTACAGCACAGAAATGGCATTGCTTGCGTTGGTGGATGATCTCTGGAGGGCTCGGGACAGGGGTTGCTCCTCTGTCCTGGTCCTATTAGATCTCTCAGTGGCTTTTGATACCATCAACCATGGTATCATGCTGCAGCGGTTGAGGGGGTTAGGAATAGGGGGCACCGTTTTGCGGTGGTTCTCCTCCTACCTCTCCGACCGCTCAAAGTTCGTGTTGACAGGGGAGCAGAGGTCGACTCTGTCTTGCATGGGGAGTGCCACAGGGGCCAGTCCTCTCGCCCCTTCTGTTCAACATTTATGTGAAGCCGCTGGGCGAGATCATCCGTGGTTTTGGGGTGAGAGTCCATCTGTACGCTGATGATACTCAGCTGTACATCTCCACCCCAGACCACCCCAACGATGCCCTTGAAGTGATGTCTCACTGCCTGGAGGCTGTGCGGGTCTGGATGGGAGAAATAGGCTCAGACTCAACCCCTCCAAGACTGAGTGGCTGTGGTTCCCGGCGCTGTGATATAGTCAGCTGGTGCCATTGCTGACTATTGGGGGTGAGTCTTTACCCCCACAGAGAGGGCCCACAATCTGGGCGTCCTCCTGGATGCACGGCTGTCTTTAGAAGAACATATGACGGCCGTAGCCAGGGGGGCTTTTTATCAGGTTCGCCTGATCAGCCAGTTGTGGCCCTTTCTGGACCGCGACGCTTTGCGCACAGCCATTCACACCCTTGTCACCTCCCGACTGGACTACTGCAATGCTCTCTACATGGGGCTCCCCTTGAAAAGCACCTGGAGGCTCCAACTGGTCCAGAATGCAGCCGCACGAGTGGTTATGGGCGCAACTCGTTGTGACACCCCTCCTGCGCGAGCTGCACTGGCTCCCAGTGGTCTTCTGGGTGTGATTCAAGGTGTTGGTTACCACTTTTAAAGCGCTCCATGGCATTGGACCTGGAAAACTTCGAGACCATCTTCTGCCACCAGTAGCCTCCCACCGGCCAGTTCGCTCCCACAGAGAGGGTCTCCTCAGGGTTCCATCGGCCAAATTATGTCGGCTGGCAACACCCAAGGGGAGGGCCTTCTCTGTGGGAGCCCCTGCCCTTTGGAATGAACTGCCCCCAGAAATTCGTAAAATCTCTGATCTCCGTGTATTTCGCTGTGCCCTCAAAACCATGTTGTTCCGCCAGGCTGGGCTATCAATGTCAAGATTTTAATTAGTTTTAAATGGGATTTTAAATTTGGGGTTTTATAAATTGGGACTATTATTTAATAATTTTAATTATTTTTAAATTTTGTCTGTCTTTGTGTTTTTAATTAGGCTCCCTGAGTCCTTCGGGAGAAGGGCAGTATAGAAATTAAATAAATAAATAAATAAATAAATAAATAAATAAATAAATAAATAAATAAATAAATAACAAGTGCTTTCAGAATATATATTTGAAAAACTGGTACAGTGAAAATATAATGAACATTATTACCAGCACATGCCAGCTGAGAGAAAGGCTGGAGACACCAGACTACTTTGTTTCCTAGATTAGATCCTACAACTGACTTGGCTTTAATTGTAAAAGGTCCATCTGGAATCAGTTTCTGCTCAGCAGACTACATACAATCAAGGTCAATTAAACAATGGCTTTGTGAATTATTGTCTTTCTCTTGGTGATTGGTGAATAATCTATAACGGAAGCAAAAAAAAAAAAAAAAGCCTGAATGATTTCACTAAACATGTTTCCCATCAACCCTCTTCCTCATCCATTATCTGCATCTTCAAGACCAACGAGATGCCATTTTATTTCTTTGTTGATTCTAGTTCCGGTTTCAAAGCCTCACGTTGCCTTGGCCTCCTCAACTGTGCTGGAGCTGAGTGAATATTTCTCTTTCAATTGTTCCCACGAGAATGGCACTAAGCCCAACTATACATGGATGAAGGGCAACAAGCCTCTTAGCAATGACTCTCGGCTGATCCTCTCCCATGACCAGAAGATCCTCACCATCACTAGAGTTCTGATGGCCGATGATGACACTTACAGCTGTCTGGTAGAGAACCCCATCAGCAAAGGACAAAGTGTTCCTGTAAAACTGACAGTGTACAGTAAGTATGGGATGCACAAGTCTATACACATGGCAGTAGCACAAAATCTTGAATTTTAATATTGTTATTATTGTTTTAAATTATTTTTATTATAATATTTATGTATTGTTTTTATGTTTTTCTATATCTATTGGTTCACTGCCCAGAGTCACTCTGTGATGAAGATGGGCAGTAGATAAATGTTATAAAACTATTTTTGGAATAAGTTTTTATTATGTTTTATGTTAGGATAAAAATTAAACAAAAATTAGAGAAGAGAGAAAAGAGCAAAGAGCAAAGAGCAAAGAATAAGGAATGACTTCCAATTTTCTTTGGTGCAGTAGATTTCAAAAATAATACAATCTCAACATTTCGTTACATTTCACAACATTTCAAGCCATTTCTGTAACAATAAAATCATCCTAATCACCAAAACCTAAAATCAAGGTTTCATTTTTTACAGTTCTGAGAAAAGTCCAGAAGCCAGATAAATTCTTTTCTTTAATTAAAGCACTCAATTTCACCATCTCTGCTAACTCCATCACCTTTATCATCTACTCTTCCATTGTGGGAATGACTGTCTTTCCATCTTCATGTTAAGAAATGTTAAGAAAGATATATAAAGACAAAGATAACAATGATGGTGATAATAATAAGGACTTAGAGACTTGGCTAGCTGTTCTGGTAAATTCAGATTAATAAAGTGGTCCTTCTTAATGATACTTCAAATTTGGATTCTGTCTTCTATTTGTTACTTTCCTCCTCAGCCAGGCCTTTTGAATTGAGGTAATGATGATTATTTAAGTGATGTTTATTGTTTTGAACTAGAGTCTGACTGTTTAATAGCTCTGTGTGAGTGTAGTTTTTATGTATATATTTTGATCTTTTGCTACTTGGAAAGCCTTTGAAAAGACATTTGCAAATTGAAAATAATAGAGTAATGAGAAAGGAGATGCTGTGAGAAGAGTAAAGATTATAGTGGGAGATAAATCTGAAGAATAAAATAAGGTTTCCCCATTCATTGCAACTTCCATGGAGACGTGCCCACTCAGCTTTCCACAACTTTCTGTTCTTTTTTTTAAAAAAAACAAGTTTTATTTTTTAAAAAATCCTTTCATCATACATATTTTATGAACAGAGTGTTGACCAGGTCAAATCTTATACATCTTCTTGTTTTTTTCCAATATTTATCTTTTGTGTAGCCTTTATCACAGATTTATCATTTTTCTCCATCTCTTCTTATTTCAACTTCTGCCATATTATTTTCTTTCCATCATTTTTTATCATTTTCAATTTTATATTTAAATCACATCACTTTATGCCTTATGCTTCTTCTCAATTACAATTACTGCAGTTGTTTACATTCTTTCTTCATTTCTGGAAGTGTCTCTCTAATTCCTTCTACCCACTCGTTAACAGTAAAATATTCATCTTAATTTACATTGTTATCAAAATTAATGATATTCTTAGATTACTTATTTTCACCTTTCCATCTGCTGTGGTTTATCACAAACATGTTCTATTCCTTCTTCTTTGCAAACATAGTCACTTTCATAATTTAAACATTGTTATTCCCTTTACAATTAACATTTTAAATATTCATTTTAATTTACATTCCTATCAAAATTAATAATATTGTCAAATTGCTTATTTTCACATTTCTGTCTATCTATTTAGTGTAGACAAACTCTATTCATTCATCTTTATCATATATTCACTTATAATCATTTTCTGCCATATCAAATTTTTTTCAACTTCTACCATATTATTCTTGCACATTTCTTTATCATTTCATTTTCACTGCTTTCATCTAGTAACATCACAGTATATTCTATGATTCTTCTACTTACCACTACTATTTTTATCAGGTTCGCCTGATACGCCAGTTGCGCCCCTTTCTGGATCGGGACTCCTTATGCACGGTCACTCACGCCCTCGTTACTTCCCGCCTGGACTACTGTAATGCTCTCTACATGGGGTTCCCCTTGAGGAGCACCCAGAGGCTCCAACTGGTCCAGAATGCAGCTGTGCTGGTGATTATGGGGGCGACATGGCGCTCCCATGTAACACCTCTCCTGCGCGAGCTGCACTGGCTTCCGGTGGTCTTCGGTGGTAGGACTCAATTCAACCAGAAAACGAAACTTTTGACACAGAGCTCAGATTTGAAAAGGAAACACATATTCATGTTCCCCACAGTCTGAAAAGCCCAAAACACATTCAATTTTCAAAGGCGAACTTTCCCTAAGGAGTTAGACCAAGCTGTATCTCACAATTACAAATAGAACTCAATTCAGCCAGAAAATATATCTTTTGACAGAGAGCACATATTTGGAAAAGAAACACATATTCATGTTCTTCAGAGTCTGAAAAGCCCAAAACACACTCAATTTTCAAAGGCGAGCCTGAGGAGTTAGACCAAGCTGTATCTCAGAATTAAAAGTAGAACTCAGTTCAGCCAGAAAACATATCTTTTCACACAGAGCTCAGATTTGCCAATGAAATACATATTCATGTTTCACAGAGTCTGAAAAGCCAAAAACACATTCAATTTTCAACGGCGAACTATCCCTGAGGAGTTAGACCAAGCTGTATCTCAGAATTGGTGTAAGGACTCAATTCAGCCAGAATTGACACATCTTCTGTGTCAAAAGATATGTTTCCTGGCTGATTGAGTCCTACTGCCAATTGTGAGAAAACAGCTTGGTCTACTCCTCAGCAAAAGCTCGCCTTTGAAAATTGAATGTGTTTTGGGCTTTTCAGACTCTGAGGAACATGAATGTGTTTCTTTTGAAAATCTGAGCTCTGTGTCAACAGTTACGTTTTCTGGCTGAATTGAGTTCTACTGCTTAATATGAGTTACAGATTGGTCTAACTCCTCAGAGAAAGTTCGTATTTCAAAATTGAATGTGTTTTTGGGCTTTTCAGACCGTGAGGAGCAAGAATATGTGTTTCTTTTGCATATCTGAGTTCAGTATCAAAAGTTACGTTTTCTGGCTTGAATTCTACCACCAATTGTGAGAAACAGCTTGGTCTAACTCCTCAGGGAAAGAACGTATTTAAAAATTGAGTGTGTTTTTGTGCTGTTCAGACTGTGAGGAGCAAGAATATGTGTTTCTTTTGCAAATCTGAGTTCTGTGTCAAATGTTACAAATATGAGTTACAGTTTGGTCTAACTCCTCAGGGAAAGCTCGTATTTGAAAATTGAATGTGTTTTTGTGCTTTTCAGACCGTGAGGGGCATGAATATTGTCTTTTGCAAATCTGAGTTCTTTGTCAAAAGTTACGTTTAATGGCAAAATTGAGTTCTACTGCTAAATATGAGTTAGAGATTGGTCTAACTCCTCCTGGAATGTTCGTATTTGAAAATTGAATGTGTTTTTGGGCTTTTCAGACCGTGAGCATAAATATGTCTTTCTTTTGCAAATCTGAGTTCTGTGTCAAAACTCAGTTCAGCCAGAATTGACACATCTTCGGTGTCAAAAAATATGTTTTCTGGCTGAATTGAGTCCTACTGCCAATTGTGAGATACAGCTTGGTCTAACTCCTCAGCGAAAGCTTGCCTTTGAAAATTGAATGTGTTTTGGGCTTTTCAGACTCTGAGAAACATAAATATGTATTTCTTTCCCAAATCTGAGCACTGTGCCAACAATTTTCTGGCTGAATTGAGATCTACTGCTAAATATGAGTTAGAGATTGGTCTAACTCCTCAAGGAAAGCCCGTATTTGAAAATTGAATGGTTTTTTGTGCTTTTCAGACCATGAGCATAAATATGTCTTTCTTTTGCAAATCTGAATTCTCGGTCAAAACTTAAAAATATGAGTTTCAGATTGGTCTAACACCTCAGGGAAAGCTCGTATTACAAAATTTTGGGGGCTTTTCAGACCGTGAGGAGCAAGAATATGTGTTTCTTTTGCAAATCTGAGTTCTGTATCAAAAGTTACGTTTTCTGGCTGAATTGAGTCCTATCACCAATTGTGAGACACAGCTTGGTCTAACTCCTCAGGAAAAGAACGTATTTGAAAATTGAGTGTGTTTTTGTGCTTTTCAGACCGTGAGGATCAAGAATGTGTGTTTCTTTTGCAAATCTGAGTTCTGTGTCAAAACTTACAAATATGAGTTACAGATTGGTCTAACTCCTCAGGGAAAGCTCGTATTTAAAAATTGAGTGTGTTTTTGGGCTTTTCAGACCGTGAGGAGCATGAATATGTGTTTCTTTTGCAAATCTGAGTTCTGTGTCAAATGTTACAAATATGAGTTACAGTTTGGTCTAACTCCTCAGGAAAAGAACGTATTTGAAAATTGAGTGTGTTTTTGTGCTTTTCAGACCGTGAGGATCAAGAATATGTGTTTCTTTTGACAATCTGACCTCTGTGTCAACAGTTACGATTTCTGGCTGAATTGAGATCTACTTGTATTTGTGAGATACAGCTTGGTCTGACTCCTCAAGGAAGCTTGCCTTTGAAAATTAAATGTGTTTTGGGCTTTTCAGACTGAGGAATATGAATATGTGTTTCTTTTGCAACTCTGACCTCTGTGTCAAAAGATATGTTTTCTGGCTGAATTGTGTTTTACTTGGAATTCTGAGATACAGCTTAGTCTGACTCCTCAAGGAAGCTCGCCTTTGAAAATTGAATGTGTTTTGGGCTTTTCAGACAGTGGGGAATATGAATGTGTGTTTCCTTTGCAAATCTTAGCTCGGTTTCAAAAGATACGTTCTCTGGCTGAATTAAGTTCTACTTGTATTTGTGAGATACAGCTTGGTCTGACTCCTCAGGGTAAGTTCTCTGTTGAAAATTGAATGTGTTTTGGGCTTTTCACAGAGCTCAGATTTGCCAATAAAATACAGATTCATGTTCCCCAGAATCTGAAAAGCGAAAACATTTAATTTTCAAAGGAAAAGAATTACAAGTAAAACTCTATTCAGAAAATGTAACTGTTGACACAGAGCTCAGATTTACAAGGGAAACACGTATTCATGTTCCTCAGAGTTGTGAAAAGCCCAAAACACATTCAATTTTCAA